AGTTACTTCTCTGTATCTGTGAGTCTCCTACTATTTTGTTCTGTTTTTAGATTCCGCATATAAGTGAAATGATAGGGCATTTGTCTTTCTCTGCCTGGCTTATTTCACTGAGCATAATACCCTCTAGGTCCATCCATGCTGTTACAAATTTTTTATGGCTGAATAATATTCCACTGTGTATATATACCACATCTTCTTCCTCCATTCATCTTTTGATGGAAACACTTTGGGTACTTCCATATCTTGACTATTGTAAATAATTTGTCAATAAACATAGCGGTGTATATATCTTTTTGAATCAAGGATTTTGTTTTCTTCAGGTAAATTCCTAGAAGTTGAATTACTGGGTTGTATGGTATTTCTATTTTTGGTATTTTGAGGGACCTCCATACTGTTTTCCACAGTGGCTGCACTGATCTACATTCCCAACATTGCCTTTGTTCCACATCCTTGCCAACACTTGTTATTTCTTGTCTTCGGGATAGTGGCCATTCTGACTGGTGTGAGGTGATATTGTGGTTCTGATTTGCATTTCCCTGATGATTAGCAACATTTGCTTAATTGCTTTTCATTAAGGTTAATACAACAAACAGTCCCTTCTTGCTTCTGTGTCTGGTTTTCAGAGATTTCTGCCCAGAGCCTTTTTTGTTCTCAGAGAGGTCACAATAGTCATGAGCCACAAAGCACCTTCACAACCTTCCTGTCGCTCCCTCTCTGGGATGGCGTGAAGGGCAAAAGAATCACTTGAAAGACCACTGCTCACTACCTACTCTGCTCAGTCGTTTCCCAACCTCAGAGGGTCTAGTCCTTTGTTTAAGAGAAAAAAGAAAGATATCAAATGTCCCAGTCATTTTTACGTTTTCCCAGAAATAGAGGATAACAAAACTAGAAACTGCACATATACCAAACAGTTTGCTTCTTAGAAATACCAAAGGCAAATAAAAGTTAAGATTCAAGCTCTCCAGTTCCCATTTACAGCTGTGAAATGTGAGGCTCAGAATTGGTAAGTGTACTGTTATTAAAGAGTAAACAATAGAGAGTCAGAACTCAAATTTTGGTCTTTCATTTCTGGATCCTCTGTTCCAATGTACACCTCACTGCCACTCTGGGATAAAGGAACTTGAAAGAGAATTACTGCTGGTAATAAAGAAAATACCACCAAGTTTCAGATTCTACTTCTAATGACTGCTCACATCCATTGTCCCTTGGTGCAAACTGACCTCTGCTTCAGAATAAGCCAGGTAAATTGCTCCCTGCTGTCCTCTGCCCATCAGGGCCCTGCCCTCTGTGCTGCTTCATCAGATATCTTCCCTGTTCCAGGGGGACTGCAAAAGCTGGCCTTCCCTTAGCACATTTATCTTCAACCCCCAATGAACACGCAGAGCACACAGTAGACTAACTCATTTATTTCTACTCATTTATTGATGGCCTTTCATAACTGAGTTATTAAGTCATCAGTAACTTCAGAGAAATGAATGAATGGATCCAGAACTGGGCCACTAGATATTTAAGATATACACTGAAAATTTTATCAAAGATCAGCAAAAAAGTTGGTGCCGGGTCATCAGTGGCATTTCTCTCACCTGCAAAAACATGCTCCATGTTTTATTTTCATTGGCACTCAGTCTATTTCTCTACAAAGTCTATTTCTACCACTCAGGTCTCCCATGTAAAATAAAGTTTGAAGAAAAGATTACATTTGTTAACATTTTTCCAAAGTACTACCTAATATATGTTGCTTTTACCAGCTAACAAAACATATTCCTGGAAGTTTTGCCAGAAATAGAGTATAAGCTCTTTTAGGAGTGCATGTGAGTTCTGACATATTTCCCCTAAGGAAACCATATAAAATCAAAAGGAGAGGGAAGGGGGAAAGAAAGGCACAGAGGGTTCCTAAGACCTTGGGAAGTCCTTGAAACCAGTATCTAGGAGTTTAGAGAAACCCTAACCCTGAGGGTTAGTTTCTGTAGGGACACTTTCAAAGCCATCAGCAGCTCACCCAGCTGAAGCGGCCATGCATTTTCATTACGTTTTGGGCTATAGGCAGCTGCTCTATCTCAATAGCTTCCAAGGATACCCCAGTACCCTGGCCTCATCCCCATTCAGGTGTCCCTTTGCCCTAATTTGCTCCCCAGTTACACCCTGGGCCCCCTTCTAGATGAGAGGAATCTTGGCCACTAAGGGGCCACAAGTGTGCTTGGGAACCTCTCTCTGCCCCAGTTGCTCATTTCCTCACCTGTAAAGTAAAAATAATGATAGAACATACTTCCTCAAATTGTTAATAGAATTAAAATAGTTAATATATGAAAAGCACTTAGAATAGTGTCTGGCAGAGGGTCAGTGTTCAAGAAGTATTATCTGTTATTGCTGTCATTAAGAAAAACACAGTATTTCCCATGATTAGGACCTCTGGGACCACCAGTCCAATTTCCTCAGTTCATTTTACAGGCCAGGTAACTGCAGCCTAATAACCTATCATACAATGTCCATGCTTTTCAAAGTTTGAAGACTAAGTGAGATAGATATAAGCAGAACGAACATCATCTTTGGAGTCCAGAAGTCCTACGTTCAAACTGCAACTCTGCCACTTGCTAGCTCTGTGGCTCTGGAATCATCTTCTCCTTTCTCTGGGCCTCTCTAGGTTCCAGTCTGTAACAAGGGTATAACATGACCTACCTGGATGCACTGTTGTGAAGACTGAAAAAGTTAATGACCAGATGATGTGACTAGCACGCTGCCTGGGACTTAACATTCAATAGCTGGGGACTGTCATTACTGCAAACATCATTCAGCAGGGCTACAGCAGAGTGGGCACTAGAATCCTGGGCCCCTGAATGCCGGCCGAGCTCACAACTACACAGCCCACATTTACTTAAAAAGAGACAGCCAGACAAATAGGCATTTGCTCTATACGACTTCTATGTTTTCTTCAATGACTGTCTTGTCTGTAGATATGATCGGCTATCAAAAGTTACCTGTGCCTGTTGATGGATAAAATTCTCTAAGTCCTACTATTCCTAAAGAAAAGGAAAAAGGACAACCTCCCACTGTTGGACCAGAGCCTTCCTAACTAGTTTAGTTTAGGGTGAGCAGTTTTACTCGGCCAGCTGAGCGCCAACATGATGTGCTGTTGGGGAGATGGTGACTCAGAAATACCTTGCAGATATGCAAAATAGTGAAGGGAGCACTTTATCCAAAAGTGATTTTGCAAATCTGGTACCTTTGTTGGGGTAGAAATAGCTAGAGAAATGTTCAAGGAAGCATGGAAATTGAACTGGACACCCTGATTTCCTTTTGGGGGGGAATATGATGAATAAATTCTAACGCTAGGTACCAAGGCACTGCAGTCCGGGTCTATCAAAAAACAGATCTGTGGAAGTCTAAAGTCTATGGAAAGATCATAGATGGCCCATGGTGGGGCTTGGGAATGAGGAATGGGTTCCACGGCCAAGTAAGCTAGAGAAACACCTCACTCTTGAGGATTTACAATGTTTGTTTATAAATGAAAGACTCTGAGAAGTCCTATATGTAAGAAGCCTCCTTAATACTGTCAAACCCATCTTTTCCTGAACAATTGCCACAAAATTCCATCAACACATATAGGACAGTGGCATAGTAGGGAACACTGTTTGGGAAATTATAGAAGGTTTGAAATTAGAGCTCATAAAATAAGAAATGAGAAGAATTGCCAGTTTGACTTTTAATTTTACTGTGAGTCTCTGCTTTAACCACTTTAGACAAAGGATGAATGGCTGTCTAGAAATGGACCACATTTAGCTGTCTTGTATCCCCATCTTATTTGTGGGGGATGGGACCCAACATCTGCTGGTTCACATGTTTCAGAGAGCAGAATACCGCTCTTTGTGTTTGGCTGTTTATCTTAACCATCAACAGAACTGCCTGGAAGTGGGCAAAAAGTAAATAAGATTAATGAAAGCAAATCAGCTTGGGTCCACGTCCATCTAAGGTCTTGGTTCAGTCAGCCACTGGATCGCCCTTGTCTTCCATGGGATCTGGAGGATGCTCACATCATTCCTGGATTGTGAGCTCATGATACAAATTGGGGATGGAAACTGTGGGCCCAAACAAAGCAATGAAGTCCTTATTAAGATATAAATGATTTTAATGATGGAAATAATTACAACTGATAATGCCTGGAATTCTCTTTTCTTAATATGCAAAATAGGATACACAAACGTCAGAATGATCCTGAATCTCCTTTCCACCACACTGCAATATTCATTATCATCTGTCTCTAAAGTTCACAAAATGTTCACCTTCTTCCCTTTTTCTCACATTTTCATCCTCTGCTGTCATATAAACACCATCAAATCTATTCTCTTCTGTCCTTCTTAATTTCTTTTCTTCTTCCCTCCCACTGTGGCCCTTTAAAAAAAAATGAGTGAAAAGTGTATCGAATTATTACAGACTTCCTACCAGGAATATCTGTTTGAAGACTCTTAAGAATTGAAGCAGGAAGATACCAAAATTTAGCCAACTTTGGTGGTGATCTATCAAAATGAAAATGAGTGAAACTAGTTTAACAATTATTAGACTGTTACTAACCCTTTAGTCTTGACCTTTTTGTAAGTCATAAATAAGTACCATCCAAATCTGATGGACGTAAACTGCAAAAATCACACAACAGCAACCTAACAGAAATACCATTTTTATTGATGTCAAAAAGTGGCATTTCTTCGCTGATTAATAAAATAGGGATTATGAAGAAAAGTAAATGTTAAATTGTGCCACAAGAGTCTTATCTGCATGGTAAGATCTATGAGCTAATTTACTTGGCAGCTGCTTTACCATTTAGATGAAGATGCCTCTTACCTAGAGAGTTTTCTTTTAATGTGGTTAAATTTAATTTGGTTTGACATGTATTTTTATAGTGAAAACATATTAATATATTATGTGTGTTATATATTAATGTTGCTTTCATCTAGCAATGTTGTATATTGATTATTTATCCAATGCCTTTTTCTATTGTCTTTCTCCAGGACGCAAACAGCTTGGATAAAAGCACAACCAAAACGGAGAGTGCTTGGCTCTTCAGGATGTGGTATAGCTTTGACCACAAGTATCCTTTGATAATGGTGAGTTCCCACATCCCACCACCTGGCAGAGATGACCTTCAAGCACTTCATCACTGAGGTGCGCGCTCCTGCTCTTCAAGAAACACAGAAAGGTAAAACGAATTCACGACCCAATTTATCAAAAAGAATGATTTCCAAAAATAAAAAGCTGTGTAGTCCATACTTAAGTGTTACAAAGTGCTGAAGTGAAGTCTCTCGAAGTCAGTGAATTTGGCGTACTCATGGCAATCTAGAATTTCCTAATGCCAGGTCATAAGATCATGTAACCCTAAAGGACTGATCTGTTTCCCTAATTTTACTGTCCTTCCCTTTGTAAAGAGTTTACCTCTGGTCGAGTTGCCCAGGGTCACCAGACATAGCTCCTTTCTCCTTCTCCCAAGAACCCATTTGTATGCTTTTGTTTCACACTGTTAAAAATGAAAGGAGTGGGGGGAGGTGGGCAGGGGGAATAAATGGTCTGAGGAGAAGAATGAATCTAGTCATCACATTATGAAATAACAGTACTTTGTTTTCCAGGCAGAACATGAGTAAGCTTTTCTTAGTGAAAAGCAATTTGAAAATTCTAGTGATCAGTGCAAAAATAGTGGCTCAGAAACACCTTGCCATGTGACTCACAGGGCTGAAGCCAGGCCTAAAGGGCTTTGCCATTGTGAGCTGCAGTAAGTGGTCCATCGCTAATCCCAAGCGAAAGCACCAGGAAGAAAGAAAAGTCCTGTGCTGAAAATTGAATGTGTTGGGTCTTGGTAATTAGTTTTCCACAGTCACAAATCCATCTCCTTTCAGGGAGAAACTGTCAGTCATTGGGTGATTTCAAAGCACCTAAGCAATGATTAAAGCCACAACAGATCAGTGGGAGAGGAGCAAGAATTAAGAACAGGGAAAAGAAATTCAAAGAATAACATAAAGAAGAGATAAAAATGGAAAGGGGGGAGGAGGCAAGAGAAATACAGGAAATTCACAGTAGAAAGGAAAGGAAAGCAAATCTGAGGAATGACTATATAGAAAAAAAAAATGAAGTGAAGAGAAGCCAATTGAAGATTGCAGAGATAAGCCAAAGGAAAATAAGGTGAGAATTAGAAAGCAATTCTGCAAAAGTAGAACATACCAAGAAAAAAAATACACGTTTTTGAGGCACATTTCTGTTTTGCCATAGCTCTGCTCTCTGTGGATGGATACTTTGCCTTGCTCAATCCTTGAGCTTTTATGGACAGTGTAAAAAAATCCATCTGGGACACTAACAGTTTCTTGGAGGTTCTAATATCTCATTAAACATGAAGCCTTCCTGGTCTCCTAAGGGAAGCTGGCTCTTAGCCTGTTATGCTGGTTTATGTTCCAGGTTGATTTCTGTTCTGGAGATGTAATTTTCCCTGCCAATTTGTAGAAGTTATAAAAATTATACTAAGGAGTTCATGTAAAGGCTGTGTGGTTATAACAATGTCTTTTTGGGTTCCTAGGCCCAATTTCCAACTGGGGTGAGAGGGATAAGGGGAAGAGGGAGGCTTCCCCACACATCCAAACAATGCTCTGGACACCAGATCTGTATCCTACAATTCGACTCAATTCTGACACTATCTACCCAGAGATAGCATCAGATCTCACAGGTAAAAATCCAGTCCCACGAGATTGCCCCCTTCATCCCAACACCACTTCACATGCCAAGGTGCCAGAAGGGCTAGCCATCACTGGTCCATGTGTTGAAATGTCCAGGGCCATGTCCATTCAACAGTGTCTCCAGGGTTTAATGCAGTAGGAGCTGGCAGCAGGATGTTGCTCTGTTGGCCATATTCACGTTCCAATAACTCTTCTTTGGTTTGCACTTAAAGTTGTATAGGAGAGGCAGCAATATGTGTTAGCATATCCACAGGGCCCAAGGCTCCTTTTTGGGGCTTCTCATTCAAATGCTGTAGCACTGTCCATAAGTGAACTGACCAGCCCTGTAGACTATTGGTGTCCCAACCTCAGGCCAGATTTCAACAAACCATTGTACATCTCTATCATGCCTGCCCCAGTAAAGTTATATGTACATTAAACTTCCACTTTATTCCTAATTGCTACACCCATCCTTGTAATGCATGTCCAGTAAAGTGGGTGCCTTGTTCGCTCTCAATCACCATAGGCTGAAAAAAGACGTTCTAGGCCCCTCTTGGTGGTTTGCTGATCTGCATGGCATACAGGAAAAGCAACCAATAGTCCAGTAGCCATGTCCACACAAGTCATGGCATACCAATATCTTTCTGATATGGGCAGAGGCCCAATATAGTCTATCTCCACCTGACAAGGGGTATTGGCTCCTTTACTGTGGTCACATGTTGCTGTGGGACTCAGTGTAAGTTCCTCTTACAGTATACAAGGCACTCCTTCTGGACTCAGCTGACTTCTTCAAAGGTCAATGCCAAGACCCACCAACAGGCTACAGCCCACACTGTCTTTTGCCCCATGTGCAACAAACGTTGGTGTAGCCATTGGGCCACATCAGAGGCAGGCTTTCCTTCTAGCCAGCGCACCTGGGCCAATGTGTCTGCTTTATCATTCCCTGGGACTGCCAAAGGGAAATGGCCAGTCACATGATATACGGTAACTGTCTTAGTCTGACAAGAGGCCCATAGGTCTTGCCACAGCTCTTGCCTCCAAAGAGGCCAGTGACCAACCATCCAGTTGACATGGTACCATGTCAGTAGCCACAGGGACAAGCCCCAATAGATGGCCCAGCTGTCAGTGCAGACAGCTATAGGGGAATGCTCCTGGGTGATCATGAACTAGACTGCCCACAACTCAGCCCATTGGCTGCTCTTCCCCTCTCCATCCTCTATATATATTGTCTCAAGATGGAAAGCCACAGCCTTCCACTTTGGGGGCTGCCCACAACTGGAGCCATCTGTGTACCAAGCATCTTTAGGTACAGGGGCTTTTCCCTCTTGATAAGGAATCTCAGCTACCAATGGCTCAAAAGCAAGTTCTTCCTGCTTTCCACTAGTATAGGTCACTGGCCCCAATAAGCATTGGAGTTCTCCACTTAAGGGGCTAGTAGAGAGGGCACTATGCTGCTGTAAATATGTACTCCATTTGGCCAGTGTAGGCATCTGTTCCACACCACTCCGTGGCCTTTGGGTCCAGTCTTGCACCCACCCTGAGAAGGGATAGATGGTTATTACCTTAGTTGGAGCTGTTCCTGTGATGGTCTCCATAGTCAGCAAGGTATGCTACATGGCAGCCAGTTGCTTCTCTATCAAGGTGTACCAGACCTCTGCTTCTTTTCACAGTTCTGACCAGAATCCTATAGGTTGGTGTGTCCATTCAAGCCACTGCCAAAGACCTCATCCAAAACCATCTTCGGTTACATGAACATCTAGTTCACAGGGCCTTGATGAATCCATTATACTCCGTGCCTGCATGGCCCTGACTGCTCACTTAGTAGCAGTAAAGGCAGCTACACATGTCTCATCCCAGTACCACCTGATTCCCTTTTGTACCAACTGGTATAAGGGCTTCAGAATTTGTGCCAAGTGTGGGATAAACAATCCCCAGTAGCCCAAAAGACCCAAAACTCATGTCGCACTGCCACAGTGATAGCAGTAGGGAAAGCCTGGACTTTGTCTATGACTGCTTCAGGAATAACTTTAGTTTTACCCAACCAGACAACCCCCAAGAATTTTACACATAGACCTGGTCCTTGAACCTTGGTGCTGTTCACAGACCATTCTTCCTCCTATAGATGTTGCAGCAGTCTAGGAACTGCCCCTTCTAAATCTGAAAGAGAATCAGGCATGAGCATAATTTCATCAATGTAGTGATACAACCACACCATTTGCAGTTTCTTCCATGTAGCCAAGTCCTGGGCTACAAGTCCATGACTGATGGTAGGACGGTGGAGGTGCCCCTGTGGAAGGATAGTGAGTGTCCACTGTTGGCCTTCCTATGTGAAGGCAAACTTCCTGACTTTCCTGTGCTATGTCCATAGAAAAGAAAGCATTAGCAAGGTCTACAACATAATGGTACGTGCCCATCTTGCTACTGAGTGTGTCCAGAATGGCTGCTGTGGAGAGAACAGCAGCATGCAAGGGGGGTGTGGCTTTATTCAATTCCCTGTAGTCCACGGTCAGACACCAGGAGGCGTCTGGCTTTTTTACTGGCCACACTAGGAAATTAAAAGGACTATGAGTGGGCTTTATGATGCCACTTTCTCCAACTCCTGTACAGTTTTTCCAATTTCCTTGTGCCCCCCAGGCATTTTATACGGTTTAGTACTTGTCACCTGCCAAGGTACAGGCAGAGTGACAGGTAAGTGGTTAGCATGTCCCCTCAGAACTGCCTTTACCACACGTACCCTCAGTCTGAACTCTGCTTCAGTGGTCTGTAACCACAGACCTAAAAGATATCTTCCCCCAAAATATATTCAGGGATGGTAGAAATGTATACAGTATACTCCTTTGGGGGTAAACGCCCTATCCCCAATGGAATTTGGGCGTTCTTCCCTCTAATTGTCTTACACCCATAGTCATCTATGCTATGGAGCTCCTATGCAGGGGTCCCGGGAAAATGCTCAGGGTTGCCGTAAATCAGAGAACACTCAGCTCCTGTGTCCACCAGCACCAGGACACATTGTATATTCACAGGGAACCAATGAATTGCTTATTCTACATGTGGCCTCTGGTCCCCCCCATGTCCCCCAAGGTGGTGGCCTTGACCCTCCCCTCAGTAGAACCGTGATGCCCAGTTGTCCTCCTGTGGGGGTGAGCGCGCAGGCAAATCTTGAGTACTGTCTTCCAGGAAGTTTTGCAGGGACACAGGCCATACATGGGGCTTTGCCTCTGGTTTCCGTGTCCTGGACCTCAGCGGCTGGAACTGCTGCTCTGTCTTTAATTGGTGCCACAGTTCTAACAAGATCCTATTGAGCTGCCCATCGAGTTTTTCTTTCACTACCCCAGCCTTTATCAAATCAACCCACATCTGGGTCCTCGAGACCTTCACGGCGCCTTTTTCACTT